GACGAAGAGTCGAGCATGCTGGAGCCTAACAACTCGGAGATGTCGGTTGCCGGGCCGATCATTGAGTTTGCAGCAGCAGCTGTGTTCCAGGGTCTATCAAAAACTGCCAGAAAAGCGATGGCAGGAGAAACCCCAGTGCCTTTCCACCCGGACTTGCGCCCAAAAAAGGTTGACACTTTCGTCAAAAAATTTTTGAAGCGAAAAGGCGCGAACTTTAATACCGCCATGGATCGCCGCCAGTTGAACATGGCTGGCCGAATGCTTGACCCAATTGGCCCTCTTTCCCAGCTTTGGCAAACTGCCATTTTAGCTTGAGGAGAAGGCCACAGGCATAGATCCTTCTCTCGTAATCGAAGCTTGTCGCCGGGCAATGTCCTTGATTGGCAACGCATCGCATTGTGCTCTAGTAGATCGAAGAAAGGGCCTATTGGCCAAAGTTTCGCCAGATTGCTTGGACTTAGTCGATGATCCAGAGCTATTCGGCCCCGGTTCCTCCGAACTGTTCGGGAAAAAGTTTAAAAAAGCCATTCTTAAGGATTTAAAACTGTCGAAAGAGATGGACAGTTTGATGAGTGGCGGTCACCATGGCAACGGCAAAAACAACTATAAACCGTTCAAGCCTTTTCGTCAGCAGCCCGGGAAAGGCCCGGGCTACAATCCCCGGTCATGGGACCAAAGCACGGGTTTCAACTCCCGATCGTGGAATCAACCGAGCCAGTGCCGCGGGGGATTTTCTCGCAGAGGGAAATCCAACTTCCCAAGTCGGGGGAAACAACACTAACAGGTACGGTTCCAAATCGCATTTTAAAACGAGTAGTACGAAAACAATCAGGTCCGAAATCGGCTCCACCTGTTCAATCGTTAATTTCAAGTCGTTTAAAGATAGATTTTCAGGCGGTAATCACGCCAGGGGCTTTGGCGGGACGTCTAAGATTTTTTCTGCCCAATTGGCAACAAATTACACTCGATCCTGTCCTCTTAGACACGGTTCGGGGTTACAAGCTCGAGTTGTCCTCGCCCCCGATTCAAAACAGAATCAGGGCCCCTCCTCGTTTTTCACACACAGAATCCGAGAAAATCGACATCGAAATTACCGCTCTCCTGGACAAAGGGGCATTGAACAAGGTCGAGCCGGTTTCCGGCCAGTTTATAAGCAATATTTTCTTGGTTCCCAAGCGGGACGGGAAATCGCGACCGGTGATCAACCTAAAAGATTTGAACGCTCACATCCAATACGATCATTTCAAAATGGAAGGCACCCACCTTCTGCGCGATCTGCTTCAGCCTCAAGACTGGCTGGGGAAGATCGATCTAAAGGATGCTTACTTCGTGATTCCAATCTGGAACGAACACAGGAAGTATCTTCGCTTTGTTTGGAAGAGTACACTCCTAGAGTTTGCATGCCTTCCCTTTGGGCTGTCGGCTGCCCAACGACTGTTCACAAAGGTGATGAAGCCAGTCGTTGCTCTTCTTCGCAGAGCCGGGATACGTCTGATAATATACCTGGACGATCTTTTGTTCATGAATCAATCCAAGGAAGGCCTATAACTAGATATGGCTACGGCACAGTACCTCTTAGAAAATTTAGGTTTTGTGATAAATTTAGAGAAGTCGTGTTTCACGCCAACTCAGACATTAGAGTTTCTAGGGTTTCTAGTAAACACTCGGGATATGACTCTGCACCTGCCCGATTACAAGGTGGAGGCGATAAAAGCCGACTGCAACGACCTGCTAGCACGTCACGAGGTGTCAGTCAGAGAACTATCTCAGCTAATTGGGAGGCTGACCGCCTCCATACAGGCCATTTTCCCTGCCCCCTTGTATTACCGTCATCTCCAACATCTGAAACACCAAGCCCTAGCCCAACGCAAGGGTTACGACGCAACTATAGCCCTATCAAGAGAAGCGGAGGAGGAGCTACACTGGTGGCTAGCCCACCTGAACGCTTGGAACGGACGGGCAATTCTACACCCTTCTCCCGACCTAATAATCGAAACGGACGCGTCAATGAGGGGTTGGGGTGCGGTGTGTCAAGGGGTAAGAACCGGGGGACTGTGGTCTCAGATGGAGCAGAAGCTTCACATAAACTGTTTGGAGCTTCTAGCGGGCTCCTTTGCCGTGAAGAGTTTCACCAAGGATCGATTATGTGTCCACGTGAGGCTTCGCATGGACAACACTTCGGCAGTAGCTTATGTGAACCGTCTAGGGGGGACACACTCCCTTGTCCTAGCCAATTTGGCCCTGGCCCTGTGGGAATGGGCCCTGAACCGCAATATTTTCCTGAGTGCCGAACATCTTTCCGGCCGTCTGAATACCACGGCAGATTGGCAATCTCGACACTTCGACGACTCGAGCAATTGGCAGCTATGCCCAGAGGTGTTTCGGGCTCTGATGTAGATTCGCGGGCCTTGTGCCAACGATCTGTTTGCGGACAGACTGAATACTCAATTGCCCCAGTTCTTCAGTTCGAAGCCAGATCCAATGGCAATAGCCGCGGATGCCCTTCAACAGGATTGGTCGAAGGAAAAAAATTATGCATTTCCCCCATTTTGTCTCATAATGCGATCACTAGCAAAGTTGAGGGAACAGGGGGCCGAGCTGATATTAGTTGCCCCATTGTGGCCCACACAAGCTTGGTACCCCAGCTTGTTGGACCTGTCAGTGTCCCTACCGGTTCTTCTGCCAATGAGCCAGAATCTCTTGCTGGGCCCCCGGGGGGGGGAGATACACCCTCTACTTGCGAATCAGACTCTTCAGCTAGCCGCTTGGCATGTATCCAGCGATCCTTGCATTTATCCTTTCGAATAAATTTTGCCCGCTATGATTAACAAGTAATCGCATAGTTCCTCGTAAAATTAAGGTTTAATTTCACTTGTGTTTTCAAAGTTTCACAAATTGTGAAACTTTGAAAACACGCGTGAAATTAAACCTTAATTTTACTTGGCCCCTGTTTTTCGTGGGCCAAAGCTAGATCTGAGGTAGAGTATAACATAGCCATATAGAGCAGTAGGAGAACGGGTCGACATGTTGTCCCCTTAATTTATACCCCCTACCTAGGTACCCCAGTGGCCATTGTCTGATGGCAAGTGAATTTTATTCAGGGCAACTAATTTTCATGTCCAACTTGCCCTAGGGCAAGTGGTCAAAAAAGTAAAGTTACACCACTGCTAAAAGAAGGATTCTGGACTAAATAAGGCCAAAAATCTCAATTGCCCCTAGGTGCTTTAGCAACAGTGCCTCCCAGACCCCGGCTGCAGCTTGTTCGGCGGCGCTACACACCCCATCACTCACCTACCCCACTAAATTGTTGGCACCTCCCCTAGGGCAAAATCTAACAATCTGTCTATGACCTACTGTACAGCACAGCCTTGAACCCACTGTACTGTTGAAGGCAAAGTCTGTCTGCCAGATAAACTGCAATGGGTCTATACTGTAAGAGGGTTTCAAAAATATATGACAACTCCAATAGGAAAGAATGCCTTTGTTGGTCGTCGAGGAGTTGTTGTAAGAAAGCTGGATAGTGCTATCAAATACCGTAGTGATTTTAAGTTTAAAAACATGGGTATGAAGCTTACAATAAACATAAAAAACATCCTTTTTTAAATACCATGTTTAATTTTTCAGGGTTTATTCTGCCAATTTGAGAAAACAATGAAAATTGAAAAAATAGAGGATGCGTAGCCAGGTTGAAACATTTATTGAACGTTCTCTAACTTAATATTTATTTCTACGAGCTTTCGGCTATCAGTCTATAGCCTTCGACGGGTGCATACACTGATAGGCTATATAGACTGATAGCTCGTAGAAATAAATATTAAGTCAGAGAACGTTCAATAAATAAAACATGAAAAGATCACTATTTGGTGAATAGCACTATTCGGCCTTCTTATAACCGCTCCCTGGGTAATAGTATGGTTCCAGTTGGTATACTACATTAGATTCAACTAATTAGAGATCTATAGGAATGGTTTAATTTGTGGAATATATATTGTTTGGATTTTTAATACCGGTATAAACATTGATTGAGATGATATTATTTAATAACTTATCTTTAATTGTAAAGGTGTAAAATTCTTCTATTATATATAATAAACATATACTCAATAATGTTTCTTATGTTACTCTGAGTGTTTATCCACACCGGGCAAGCTGAAAAGTTAGTTTGACCACGGTGGGAATCGAACCCGCGACCTTTGGGATACTAGTCCAATGCTCTGCCAACTGAGCTACGAGGCCGAGTCGGTTCGAGTGTGTGGTATTTCGGAACTAAGTCTAGTACCAATGTGTTCTTATGATCATTATATTTTTTGTGTGTGTTTTGATGTTATGTACTCAGGTGAATATAATGTTTCTTATGTTAACATCGTGGATAAACACTCAGAGTAACATAAGAAACATTACAGTATATTCACCTGAGTACATAACATCAAAACACACACAAAAAAATATATACTCAATAAGTCGTACATTTTTTCTGAGCTCTTCTTTTCAGCATGGACTTACAGTGAGTAAAATGATTTAACAGCTTTCCATTTAGAATTTAATATTTGTTAAACATATACTGTACCTATACAGTAGGTCCTAGATTAATATGTGGATTATTAATTTGGACAACGATATAGGTACCATATCGGAATTCGTTTGTATCTATACAAATTTTGTTGTAGATTCAAAGAAGTACTCGTCCACACGTATAGCAAAAACAGTAGGAATATGATAGAGTCGCTTACAAGGCTTGCGTCATTCAATATGAGTTTGCGTTTTCTCCGAATAGGTGGGGATGGAAGGCGTATCCGCTGCAAAATGTTTGCGGATGCCAACGAATCGGGATACGTGAGGACGGATAATCAAACTCTGCTAAGAAATGCACATGTATTAATGTGTTTACAAATGCAAGGTATACTTATTAAAATGCTAATGTAGTGTATACCCAGCTTTTATTTTTAATATTTTCGTGTTACCTGACTGATTTGCAACGCCGTGATGACAAATAACGATGTAATTGTACTTCCTGTATTTGAATACTCTTTTTGAGAAGTTGGCATGTAACGCACCAGTTGGCATGTAACACATGTGCTGGCACCTAACCTGCGAATGGGCATACTCTGGTACGAGATTGCACTTGAGACGGAATGGTTTTATGAAGTACTGTTTCACTTCGTTATTTTCATTTTGCGGTGGCGTATTTCGTTAATTTAAGCCCGTGTTCCACTACGTGAATTTGTTCGCGCGATCGAAGCGACTTTTCCCTTTGGCAACATCACTTTTGCTGACGTGTGCGCAAACAAATTCGCCTAGTGAGTAGTGGAAAACAGGCTAATCTACTTTCCTCCAACCCAACTAAACGGGTAACGTGGGGTGAATAGGTATAACGAGGGGTTACCATTACGAAAGGGGATGGACGAGAAATAGGTGACCGCGAGAGGCGCGCGGGCTAGTGCAGTGGCGTGCTGGCAAAGGGGGGGGGGGCGCTTCCTAAAATCTTCGGCTTGATTTTGTCCGCATTCTCTGTTTATTTTTTAAAGAGTCCTGGTCAACCACAATGCAATGCGTGCGTTTGTTTACGTTTCTGTTACGTTGTGGCCACTTGTGGGCCAGAGGCAGCCATTTTGTGTGGCCTCGAAAATGGCAGCAACAATTGATAAAAGTAACGGGAAAACGTAAACAAAAGTGCGCATTGCATTGTGGTTGACCAGGACTCTTTCAAGACTGCCAAAGATTAATAACAATAGTTTCCAGTGATACCGTATCCCCTATTTAAGAATAACTTAATACAGTGTATTAGAATACTTTGGCGGCTGTCAAGGCGCTGTTACACTAAGCAACTTGTCTCGGAATGTAATCAAGCAAAACGATTTCAGCATTGTATATTGCAAGCAAGCTTTCGTGGTTAGGGATGCAACTATCTGAAAAATACAAAGCGAAATTCGACGTTTCGAGCGAAAATTGCTGAGTTGCATATTGCAACAGGGCCTTTATACAAGTAGTAGTAGTAGAACTTTATTTATCCACGCTGACCCCGTCAACCGTAGCTGATTTCCACAGGGGGCGTGTGCCAGAAAATTATTTTACATGCAGAATATGATAAGGATAAGCTAAGCTATTACAGTAATATATAAATTTAAAAGATATAACAAATGTTTTGAGCTATTTACAGGTAAGTTATATTTACAAAGGTTACCAAGCACTAATGTGAGCAGCGATTTTATTTCGAAAGGAAGAAAGTGACTTGCTTTCCTAATTTCTTTTGGTATAGAATTCCAAATGTTTGCTCCGTCGTACATAAAACTATTTTTCATGCTATTTGTACGTGGTTTTGGTAAATAAAGACCACTTGAGACATCCCGAAGGTGGTAATTAGTTTTCTCACTCTTAAACGAAAATAGATTTGTGAGGGATTTTGGGCCCATTTTGTTTAATAACTTATACATCATTCTTGCTTTAGTTTTCTTCCTTTCAGTTTGGAGTGGCTCCCAGCCCAAAGTACATAAAGCAACCGTATAATCTACGTCATTGCTTATATTCAGAATAATTCTTGCCGCTCTATTTTGCAGTTTTTGCAGTCGTTTTGATTGAGTTTCGCCAAATACATCCCATACTTCACAGCGGTAGTCAAAGTACGGACGAACAATAGTGTTATATATCAAAATAAGTGTATCTTGATCAACAAATGGTTTGATCCGACGAATAGCAGAGATTCCTGCTGTAACTTTTTTGCAAATATTTTCGGTATTACTTTTCCAAGATAAATGCTGGTCAATTGTTACTCCTAGAGTTTTGCATTCATGAACTTGTTTAATTTGTATATTTTCAATGTAACATTTGGGCAAGAATCAGAAATATTTTTGATCATAGGTTTAGAGCCAATCAACATAAACTCTGTCTTAGCTACATTGAGG